AATGGTCCCAAAAGGCGCGACCGCTCACGGGGTCTCTCACTTTGATCAGTTCTGCTCCATTTGCACCTTGGAGGTCATTGTCCAATTCCAGCTTTAGCCCAGGCAGTCCCATCCTGCTTGTTTTTCTCTCTCCAGCCCACGCTGTTTGTGCTCTTGGGCCTGAGATTTGGATGATTTGTCCTTGGTGCCCAGCTGGAGAAGGAATTGTTTTGTCTCTCTGCTCTGTGCAGAGAGCTCAGCATCCCCTGGTATGAAGCCCAGACCCACACACTAAAGCAGCACAGAATGCGAAAAATTTAAAAGCTAAACCTGAGGCATCAAAAGCAGAAAGTTCCTAATTTCACCAGTTATTAAGTTAAAATAATCTAAATGCAGAGTCTGCTCTTTAAGGCTGTGATCAGCAGCCCTGATGTGGACAGGGAAGGGTGAGGATGTGCAGGGAGCCTGGCTGGTGTTTGGGAGAAGCCAGTGCAGCCCCAGCCTTCCCCTGGCCCTGGCCCTGGCCCACCTGTGCCTGCCCAGAGGAGCTCTGAGCCTGAGGACATTTCTGTCTTGCTGAAACAGATGAAATCATCAGGGAGCGTGGCTCTTGTGCATGAGCCACATTTAACCAGGCTGATTCCCCCAAAGTTACAGAATCCTGACAGAATACAGTGCTTTTAATGACTGAATTCCTGTTATTTACTCAGATTAGCTCCATGGTTGGGTTATGCATCTTGTGCTTTCTAGAAGGGCTGATGGCTGCTACAGAAAACAAGGAATTTTCACAAGCTGTTGATGAATTATTAAAGCACCAGAAACTCCGCTCACTCTCAGGTTTAGAAGGCTTGAAAAATGTTTCCTTCCTGATCAGTTTAAACACCCAGAGGGCCAAACTTTTACTGAGCAGAAGGGGAATCATTCCAGCCCTTTTGCACCAGGTGAAAAGCTGCTCTGTCAAGACTAAGGCTGCTTGTCAGACTCAGTGCCACCAAAAACCCAGTGGTGTCTTGAAAATGGGCTGGATTCCTCTGGCCAGCAGAAGGCACCCAAGACAAGCTGGACTGCAGAGGAGCTTTTTGCAGCACAGGAGTCTGCCTTCAGTCTTAGGCTAATGAGCTTAACAAACAATGCAGTAACTAGATTGCTGGCAAAACATAAATAGTCCTATAATACAATAATATCTAGTAAAAATAATGTCCAAAAGCAGTCTGAAAAATTTTACTCCTTAGCCATATCCATTAATTTTTACAAGCAATTAAAGAAAAAGTATTGTAATGTTTTAATCCTAAATCTTTACAATTAAGGAATCATCCATAATTGTGGCTTGAATTCCCCCAGAACAAATAGGCACTAAGGCAAATCTATAGGATTCTTATTATCTGTTGGTGATAAAGGACTTGCTCTTTTTTCTGCTAAACTGACTTTGACTTTGGCTTCAGAGTCTGCTCTGTGGCAGCAGCATCAGGTCAGAGAACTGGTGCTGTGGAATTACACTGGGTTTCCATCACTCATAGCAGGAGAGAGCAGCAGACAAAACTCCACCATCCACCTTCTCTTATCCAGCATGTTTACATACACACATCCTAATTTTTACAAATTAAAGGACTTGCAGGGACTTTACAACAGATTTAACATGCAATGGCAACTAACACCTTGGATAAACATGAGAAGCCTTTGCTAAAAAAAAAAAATAAATCCCAAACTCTCCTGAGTGAGTTTACTCTCACTGTTGGTGCTGTTGAGATTTAAGAAGTGGGAGTTTACTGTGCTGGACATGTGGAGCTTGAAGGCATTTTGCTGTGATTTGAAAGGTTCTTGCAATCTTTGCTATTCATTGTGTAGCTGCATTTCTGTCCAAAATTGATGCAGTGAGGTGTCCCTCTCCCGTGTGTTAACTATCTGTATGCCACAGAGTGACACTGTTCCACAAACTATAGAAGACACAGGAGTTATCACAGGGGCAGGAGCCTTCTACACACACCTGCCCTGACAAGTGTTCAGGACTTCTCCCCAGAGTTTGGATGCAGATTCCGTGGTTCCTTTCCTGGGAATTGAGGGAAAGGATCTCGATGTGTGCCCCACCCACAACTGGATGGTAAGATGTCAGGGTCAGCTGCTGACACCCCAGCAGTGTGAAAGTCCTTGTTCCCCCAGCCTGGCAGCCGAAGAAGGAGTCTGGAATGCGTGAAGTCGAGTTTTCAAGGTTGTTTATTTTTCCTTATCTATAACATGTCTCTCTGGCCTGCCGAGGTCCGCCTAGTACAGAAGCCATGGCAGTCTGCCTCGAGTCCTGGGCACCTCCCACATTATATACTCAAAATTACGTGTTGTATTTCTACAGATTTGTGCCAATGCCCACCACCTATGTTAGACAGTGAATCTCTACCTTAAACCAATAGAAAAGTGTCACCATCACAGCAAGACATGGAGGACAAGAGAAGGAGAAGGCCAGGAAACGCCCAGATTCCTGCATCTTGTACCCCTGAATTACATACTAAAGACTTTAAAATTTTACTTTGCCACCCTGTGTCAATTCACCTATTACACTACTCAAACCCTTTTGGCTTGTAATTCCTCATACAGAGTTGGCAGCCTCTCCCACAGACTAAAATTGAAGCCACAGGTGTTTTTGACTTCTTGCCAGGGTCTCTGAGCCCCCTGCCAGGGTCTCGAGACATCCAGGGCAGCCAGAGGGATGTCCTGGACTGCGACAGTAAGATACTTTGGATCCTAAGTTATATTATTTCTTCCCTACCTGTGAAATGAATGGTACCTTTAACCCAATGCTGTATATACCTACTAGTACTCTCTTTTTGTCTTTATTCCTGTGTAGTATTAGTTTGTTTTAAGCCTTATGTCTGTTAGTTTTGTGTCCGTTAAATACATAATTAATTCTCTATCAGACTGAATTAGCTATTATTAAAAAACTTGTGAACCAGAGTGGGTTTTGAGGTGCTGGCCACCTCAATAAAGCTCATGCCTGCTGCCAGAGACGGGGCAAGGGGCAGGGGCTTATCTAACCCCCACATCCATTTGTAAAAGTGAGTCCCAGCCCGGCCCAGCTCAGCAGGCAGCTGGTACCGCTCTGCCCCGCTGGCACCTGCAAGGGCAGCAAAACCCACACCAGCGCTGCCTCAGCCTGGCCAGAAGGCACTTCTCTCACCGGTGGCTTTCTTTGGGTGCAGGTATTTTGCAGCAGTTCCAGTGCCATTCCCTCCCTGAGAAAACCTTGGCTTCAAAAGAGGGATCCCTCTACAGTGGGCAATGGCTGCAGGTGTCACTGCTGGCTCTGGCTGTGCTGCCAGGGGCGTGGCAAGGACAGCAGGGCAGTGAGGAGAGAGCCATGGGCCATTGCATCACAAAGGGCAGCCCCAGGAGAGAGCCATGGGCCATTGCATCACAAAGGGCAGCCCCAGGAGAGAGCCATGGGCCATTGCATCACAAAGGGCAGCCCCAGGAGAGAGCCATGGGCCATTGCATCACAAAGGGCAGCCCCAGGAGAGAGCCATGGGCCATTGCATCACAAAGGGCAGCCCCAGGAGAGAGCCATGGGCCATTGCATCACAAAGGGCAGCCCCAGGCTGGGGTTCTAGGAAGGTTGTGGTTGACAGGGCCACAGCGGCAGGAGAAGCATCTGGCTCTGCCTCTCTGTGCCCAGCGCTGGCGATTGGAGTCACCCGACCTTGTTCCAAGGCTGGGTACCAAGCTCCCATTGCTGTCAACTCCGAGAGCATTCCCAAATTCAAACCCAGACACTTCTGCGAGGCAGAAGCACGGGTTCAAAGATGGACTTTACCAGAAAAGGAAAGACCACTGAAGGAAAAGGTGAGGATAGAAAGGAGCTGAAAGGTTGACAGCAAATGGAAAAAAGTCCCCCCAGATTATTGGGAAAACTGGTCCATGGTGGTCAGTGCTGGCTCTGTGTCAGAGTACGGGGCTGACAGCTACAGATGATCCTGCAAGGATGGCCATGGCATCACAACATTCTATCATTAGTCTACTCTGCTTTCCCCTTTTTGACAGTAGCCAAATCACTCATACTGAAAGCCAGGACAGGGACTGTGGCCACAGCTGACCACAGACTGGACACGGTCATGAGATGCAGTCCTGTTTCTTTCTTTGCCATCAATGTTGGGCCTCACGACAGATAAATTTCCCCTTTCTTCCTCTCCTTGCTGATCGGGTCCAACATTGAGGGTGGTATTACAGTGCTGTGGAAACACCACTAAGGCCTGCTGCTTGCAGAGAGGTCTTTGTGGTTTGCAGAAATAGCGGTCACAGCTGTGTCGGTTTTCCCTGGGGATTCACAGAAGGTCAGCCTGAAGAAGGAATCTTTTTTTCCCCTCTTACCATTAGAGCCTCCCACATCTCCCTTTAGACTTGATAACTCAATGCTGCTTAGAGGAATTACACAGAGACTAGTCCCATGAAAAATAAAACTAAAGCAATTTTCTCAGAAATTAAAAAAATCCTCGAGTATCGCCGCCATTAGATGTGTTGATGATAAAGGTGAGAGTTCACCCAACTCCCTTCTTCCCTTGGGAGCATATCTCAGCCTCACACAGAGGTGAGGGGGGAGCTGGGCCGCTCTCTGGTGGGAGGAAGGCTCTTGTGGCAGCCCAGAGAGCCTGTGCACATTGCCAGGGAACAGCTGTGCCCTGCATGTGCCCTGCAATGAGCTGTGCTCTGCCAGAGCCCCTGGAGCTGTAGGGCTGCTCAGCCGTGGGGCAGGGAGAGGAGCAGGAGGGTGCATGTGCAGCTGAGCCATTCCTGGGAAGCACAGGGCTCTGGGCTCCTGCTGTCCCAGGGCAGCCCAGAGGCCAGGCTGTTCCTGTGGCAGCCCTGTGCCAGTGGGTCAGGGCTTTCCCCTGGCCTGCTCCAGGGGCTGCCAGCAGGAGCAAGCTTCCCTGTGCAGCTCTTTAGAAGTTTCCAAGGAATCTGTCCCATGAAGTCTTGAGCTCCAGATGTTTTAGGTTTGCATTGTGGCCTCTGTTATATTTTGTGTCTCCACTCTGCAGGCCTGACTGGCTACCCTCTTGCCAAGAGGTTTTCCCCGGCGAGTCCCTTGATGCTCCTTCCCTCCAAGCTTCCCATCCCAAAGAGCTCTCCTTCTACCAAGCCAAGCCAGGTCTCCAGCGGAGAGCAGGAGAAGGGGAAAAATGTCATCAGCTGGGATGAGGAGAGTAGAAAACAACAGGGACTGATTTCAGATGGAAAAGGACATAAGGTAAGGAGACCAAGCATAGTCCTGTGTGGTAAATTTTCAGTTTCTGTGCTGTTGGCAGGGCTCTGAGACCTTTACCCTGACAGGAATTGACCCTTTCACTGAGGTTTGGAGTGGTCCTGATTTGGCACTTTAGCTTGGCCAGAAATTATGGGATGCTAAGGATGGGTGTGAGTCTGCCCCTGCTGCCTTCACCTCCCTTCCTGGCCATGGCATGGAGGCCTGGAAGAACTTGGGCAGGCTGAGACCTTGCAGAGAGCTGCAGGACAGGGAGCTCTGCTGAACTTCCTAAATGCCAGTGAGCCTGAGATGATGGAAGTGTGGGAGCTGGAGAGCAGCGAGCACCCTGAGAGCTCAGCAGCATCTGGGCTCAAAGGCTGCTGGGGAACTGTAGGAGGGAAGGGCAGCAGCAGAAGCAATGAGGGGCTTGAGAAAAGCAGGGTTTGACATCCTGCAAAATGGCTTTGTGGGGACTTGTCTGGAGATCAGCACTGCCTGTTAGGTACCTTTAGGAGCAGGGAGAGATCAGTGATCTAAACCCACTCCTGTGCCATCCAAAAATGCCAGTGGAGCCAGTGGCACCCAGAACTTCTTGATGCCACACATGTGGATGGCAGTTTTAAATGTAGCCACACTTGCAGACTGAGTGAGTGTGAGGAGAGAGGTGTCAAATGTGTGACATAGTCTCTCCCTCAGCAGTTCCCTTTGCATTCCCCATCCTGGGCCAAGTTGCCCCATCAGTCTGACTTGTCCTTTCCTGCCAGGTGTCACCTAATAGCATGGCTAAATGTCCTGAGGCATGAATGGGGGCAAGGCTGGATGCTTGATCTGAGCACTGTGGTCTACTCTTTCCAGGCTTCCTTGCTGTATACCCCTGGGGGAGAAGTGAAGAAGGGGTCACTGGGACTACCTCTGCTCCCCCCAATACGCAAGGCAGGAAGTCTCCCTGTTGGCAGTGCTGCAGGGTCTGTGCAAAGCTCTCTCCAGCTGGATTTCCAGGAGTCCCAGGAGATGAGGTAAGCCAAGGTGTCTGCTGCTCCAGGGGGCTGTTCAGCTCACTCTTCGCATCACATGTTGTTATTTTGCACTGTCAGCTGTCCCATGTATTTAGGCAGACCTCTGTGTATTCAGCATTTTGCCCATCTATGAAGGGCCAGCACAATGTCAAACCCAACAGCAATGGCCCAAGAGCAGAGGTGGTGGTGGGGAAGACGAGGCAGGGCTTCAAAGCACCTCAAGATGGGTCCTCTGCTGGGCTTGGCTATTATTTCACCCAGAGCGTGGCCAGTTCTGTGCGACAACAGCAGCTGAAAGCTTAATGACAATTAATCAGCCTTGCATCTTGTTGTGCATCTTTATGTGTTGCCTTTCCTCCTTCATCTGTGACCATGCTAAGAAGGTTTGCCTCCTTTCATGGCACACTCATTCCCTCCCTTCTCTTTCTACCTCCTCATTTGTTCCTTTGTCCTCCATTTCCTCCAGGCCAAGACCCAGCAGCAGTAGCCAAGAGAAGAGCTCTGACCATGCAGGTAGGTACAGGGCATGTCTGTCCTGAAATGACCATTGGAATCTGGACCATGAGGTGACATTTGGAAAGCTTGGTTCAAGCCCATTCTTTTGAACATTCCTTAAAGTTCCTTTCAATTCCCTGACGGGCTCAGTGGACTCTCCCAAAGCGCAGTCACCGGGAGTGTTCTCTGGTGGTGCAGTGAAAATTCCTCCAGTGTGAAGTGTTGAGTGGCAGGAGCTGGAATGGTACCTTGGGGCCCAGGAAATGCAGTGCAGGAAAAGGAAACATTCCTCTCCATGCTGTTTAGAAGATTCCAGGAAATGTATCCCATGAAATCTGGAGTTCCAGATGTTTTAGATTTGCATTGTGGCCTCTGTTATATTTTGTGTCTCCACTCTGCAGGCCTGACTGGCTACCCTCTTGCCAAGAGGTTTTCCCCGGCAAGTCCCTTGATGCTCCTTCCCTCCAAGCTTCCCATCCCAAAGAGCTCTCCTTCTACCAAGCCAAGCCAGGTTTGCAGCGGAGAGCAGGAGAAGGGGAAAAATGTCATCAGCTGGGATGAGGAGAGTAGAAAACCACAGGGACTGATTTCAGATGGAAAAGGACATAAGGTAAGGAGACCAAGCATAGTCCTGTGTGGTAAATTTTCAGTTTCTGTGCTGTTGGCAGAGCTCTGAGACCTTTACCCTGACAGGAACTGACCCTTTCACTGAGGTTTGGAGTGGTCCTGATTTGGCACTTTAGCTTGGCCAGAAATTATGGGATGCTCAGGATGGGTGTGAGTCTGCCCCTGCTGCCTTCACCTCCCTTCCTGGCCATGGCATGGAGGCCTGGAAGAACTTGGGCAGGCTGAGACCTTGCAGAGAGCTGCAGGACAGGGAGCTCTGCTGAACTCCCTAAATGCCAGTGAGCCTGAGATGATGGAAGTGTGGGAGCTGGAGAGCAGCGAGCACCCTGAGAGCTCAGCAGCATCTGGGCTCAAAGGCTGCTGGGGAACTGTAGGAGGGAAGGGCAGCAGCAGAAGCAATGAGGGGCTTGAGAAAAGCAGGGTTTGACATCCTGCAAAATGGCTTTGTGGGGACTTGTCTGGAGATCAGCACTGCCTGTTAGGTACCTTTAGGAGCAGGGAGAGATCAGTGATCTAAACCCACTCCTGTGCCATCCAAAAATGCCAGTGGAGCCAGTGGCACCCAGAACTTCTTGATGCCACACATGTGGATGGCAGTTTTAAATGTAGCCACACTTGCAGACTGAGTGAGTGTGAGGAGAGAGGTGTCAAATGTGTGACATAGTCTCTCCCTCAGCAGTTCCCTTTGCATTCCCCATCCTGGGCCAAGTTGCCCCATCAGTCTGACTTGTCCTTTCCTGCCAGGTGTCACCTAATAGCATGGCTAAATGTCCTGAGGCATGAATGGGGGCAAGGCTGGATGCTTGATCTGAGCACTGTGGTCTACTCTTTCCAGGCTTCCTTGCTGTATACCCCTGGGGGAGAAGTGAAGAAGGGGTCACTGGGACTACCTCTGCTCCCCCCAATACGCAAGGCAGGAAGTCTCCCTGTTGGCAGTGCTGCAGGGTCTGTGCAAAGCTCTCTCCAGCTGGATTTCCAGGAGTCCCAGGAGATGAGGTAAGCCAAGGTGTCTGCTGCTCCAGGGGGCTGTTCAGCTCACTCTTCGCATCACATGTTGTTATTTTGCACTGTTAGCTGTCCCATGTATTTAGGCAGACCTCTGTGTATTCAGCATTTTGCCCATCTATGAAGGGCCAGCACAATGTCAAACCCAACAGCAATGGCCCAAGAGCAGAGGTGGTGGTGGGGAAGACGAGGCAGGGCTTCAAAGCACCTCAAGATGGGTCCTCTGCTGGGCTTGGCTATTATTTCACCCAGAGCGTGGCCAGTTCTGTGCGACAACAGCAGCTGAAAGCTTAATGACAATTAATCAGCCTTGCATCTTGTTGTGCATCTTTATGTGTTGCCTTTCCTCCTTCATCTGTGACCATGCTAAGAAGGTTTGCCTCCTTTCATGGCACACTCATTCCCTCCCTTCTCTTTCTACCTCCTCATTTGTTCCTTTGTCCTCCATTTCCTCCAGGCCAAGACCCAGCAGCAGTAGCCAAGAGAAGAGCTCTGACCATGCAGGTAGGTACAGGGCATGTCTGTCCTGAAATGACCATTGGAATCTGGACCATGAGGTGACATTTGGAAAGCTTGGTTCAAGCCCATTCTTTTGAACATTCCTTAAAGTTCCTTTCAATTCCCTGACGGGCTCAGTGGACTCTCCCAAAGCGCAGTCACCGGGAGTGTTCTCTGGTGGTGCAGTGAAAATTCCTCCAGTGTGAAGTGTTGAGTGGCAGGAGCTGGAATGGTACCTTGGTGCCCAGGAAATGCAGTGCAGGAAAAGGAAACATTCCTCTCCATGCTTCACATGGCTTTTCTCTCCCTGTAGCCTTTCTAGAGTCAAAATTAGTAGAGCAAAGGAAGGCAATTATCATGAAATGACAAATGTTCCCACTCCTTCCTCCTGCCCTTGAAGCAGAAAACCTTTCCTGGGGCACTTTCTGAGCTGAAGCCTTTGAGGAGTGAAGGAGGTTCATGGACATTGCCTGGTTTTGCACTGGCAGAAATAGGGAAAACTCCTAGGACAGAATTCCTTTGGAAATCTCTTTCCCGGCTCTCTCTGTCTGTGTCAGAGTGGCAGGCTGAGGCTGGGGGAGGAGATGCCTTCTGCCTTGTCCTCCCTCCCTGCCTTGCCTGGTCCCTGACAAGTGGAATTGTGCCAGACAAAATGCGGTCTCTGGTGCATCTGGGTCAGCCAATGCTTTCAACTTGAAATCTTCCATGACACTCTTGTTGTTCCTTTGCTATCTCTGGGCCTGCAATGATCGGGGAGGTGAGACTTGAAGAAATAATTCTGCTGGTGCAGAAAAAGGGATCAGATCCCCTGGTCTCAGGGTTAATTCTGCTAAATCCTGGGCACGGCCCCTTTGTAATGACTCCTTTATTGCTGATATGCAGCTGGAATGCCTAATGCAGCTGTGGAGAAGTATTGCTCACTAAGTAAGGTACCTTTTTTTCTGGACTGGAAATGACTTGTGTCATTAATCCTTACCTGTCTCACATTTATTACTGACCCAAGCACTCTACTGGGTGAAGGAATCCAGGCTTAAGACAGGCATTCCTCTCGTGCTGCTTGGCTGCCATATGATTTTATCCTCTGTGTAGCCATGTAAATGATTAGTTCTTTTAGTTCTGACAGGTCTGTTGGAGAGTATTTAAGAATGACCTGCTCTCTGCAATTTCCTTTAAGGAAATTTGGAATTGTCAGTATTAGCCAAGATCAGAAATGTTTTGAGGCAGGTCATGTTTATGTTGGGTTTGGCTGTCTCTGTTTAAAAGAACACAGAGAATAAACCCCAGTAACAAGTTAGTAGTGCAAAAGTGGAACTTTTGGATGACCACTTTGTTCCCTACAAATACCGGCTCACAGAATACTGGGCACATCTAATGGAGAGAGCAAAGCTTCTATTGCATCTAACATATGGGGCCATTGTTTGTGTCCCAGCACTTCCTTTAATGTAAAGAGTAATATAAAAACTCCCAAAACTGCACAACCCGACCTAGAATTGAGTGATATACAGATACAAAGGCCTTGAAAACTACTTTTGGAAACAATGACTTCCTTGCCAGTGTCAGATGCTAGAGATCACGGTGAAGTTCCAAGTGTTTGGAAGGAAAGGGATCCTGTAGTAGGGGGAGGCAAGGGGCAACATATGAAGTAGTAGAACCCTTCTGTCTTGGCTTGCCAGCTCCATATTGTTCAGAGAAATTAAGCTGCTGCTAGTTTCATGAAAAATAAAAAAACAACCAAGCTTTTCAGTAACTAAAATACACTTTGAATTCCTCACCCATTAGAAGGGCTGTCTGTAAAGGCGTGAGTTCAATGAACTCAGTTCTTCTCTTGTACCTGGTCTACAGGTTGTTCAGAGTCTATACCAAAAACCCAGAGGACGAAGGAAAAGAGCTCTCAGTGTAAGACAGGCCCTGGGATGCCTCTGTTCCCAAGGAAACTCCCTGAGCCGTTGGGCCTGGAGACTCATGTGCCGAACCGCGGCCTTGGCAATGGAGGTCTCGGCCCCCGGCCGGCTCAGGGGGCCTTGGCCCAGGAGCCTCAGCAGAGGCCACCGAGCAGCGCTGGCCCCAGGGTCACTGCCGGGGAGGACAAGGGGAAGGCCGAGCATGGCTCAGCCTCACACAGAGGTGAGGGGGGAGCTGGGCCGCTCTCTGGTGGGAGGAAGGCTCTTGTGGCAGCCCAGAGAGCCTGTGCACATTGCCAGGGAACAGCTGTGCCCTGCATGTGCCCTGCAATGAGCTGTGCTCTGCCAGAGCCCCTGGAGCTGTAGGGCTGCTCAGCCGTGGGGCAGGGAGAGGAGCAGGAGGGTGCATGTGCAGCTGAGCCATTCCTGGGAAGCACAGGGCTCTGGGCTCCTGCTGTCCCAGGGCAGCCCAGAGGCCAGGCTGTTCCTGTGGCAGCCCTGTGCCAGTGGGTCAGGGCTTTCCCCTGGCCTGCTCCAGGGGCTGCCAGCAGGAGCAAGCTTCCCTGTGCAGCTCTTTAGAAGTTTCCAGGAAATGTGTGCCATGCAATCTGGAGCTCCAGATGCTTTAGGTTTGCATTGCAGCCTCTGTTATATTTTGTGTCTTCACTTTGCAGGCCTGACTGGCTACACTATTGCCAAGAGGTTTTCCCTGGCAAGTCCCTCACCACTGCTTCCCTCCAAGCCCTTGCCTCCCATCCCAGAGAGATCTTCTTCCATCAAGCCAAGAAAGACGTATAATGAAGAGAAAGAGAAAAGCCAAACTAGCACTGGCTACACAGATACCAGAAGAATAAGCCAGGAGCTGAGCTCAGATGGAATAAGTTGTAAGGTATGGAGGCCAAGATAAATCTTGTATGGTAGATTTTCTGTAAAGTGCTGTAGGCAGAACTTGGAGACCTTTTCCTGTGGTGTGAGCCCAGGGAAGCAGCTGAGCCAAGGAAGAGCTCAGCTGGACACTGCACTTCAGGCTGCCTTTGCAGTGGGTGTGAAGTGCAGACTTCATGTCCTCAGCATGTGTCAGTAACAGGAGAGGTCTTGGAATGGTTTCTGGGCTGTGTCGTGGTTCCTCCTCTGTGTTATGGCAGAGAAAACACCAACTAGTAGTCAGAGCAGCTAAAATTGTCCACTCTGGAAAAGAAATCCTTCTCCATTTAGTATCCTACATGTATCTGTGGACTATCTCTATGTCTCAGAACATCTTGATGTCCAACATGTGGATGCCTGCGTGGAATGCAGCCACTGTTGCAGAGGAGTGAGCGTGAGGAGAGAGGTGTCAAATGTATGACATGGTCTCTCCCTCAGCAGTTCCCTTTGCATTCCCCATCCTGGGCCAAGCTGCTCCATGAGTTTGACTGTTGTTTCCTGCCATGTCTCAGTTGAAAACATATCTAAATGTCTTGAGGCATGAATGGGGGCAAGGCTGGATGCTTGATCTGAGCATCTGCTCTATTCTTTCCAGGCTTCCTTGGTGCACTCCACAGAAGGGGATTTGAAGAAGAGGTCACTGGCACCACCTCTGCTCCCCCCAATACGCAAGGCAGGAAGTCTCCCTGTTGGCAGTGCTGCAGGGTCTGTGCGAAGCTCTCTCCCGCTGGATTTCCAGGAGTCCCAGGAGATGAGGTAAGCCAAAGTGTCTGCTGCTCCAGGGGGCTGTTCCCCTCACTCTTCTCATCTCATGCCGTGGTTTTCCAAAGTGTCCCATGTATTTAGGCAGACCTCTGTGTATTCAGCATTTTGCCCATCTGTGATGGGTCAGCACGATGTCAAACCCAACACCAATGGCCCAAGAGCAGAGGTGATGGTGGGGAAGACGAGGCAGGGCTTCAAAGCACCTCAGCACAGTCCCTCTGCTGGGCTTTGCTACAGATTCCCTCTGAAATGTTTGTGCTGCCTTTTGGAAGTGTTTTGCATGGGTCTGGATCCTGCAGGCCTTTGAGTGTTGTGATCTGTGAGTCTTAAATTCTGCAACCATGAGAATAGGCTTGGGCAAATATTGGCTACTGGAGCAGTGTTTGCAAATTCAGGTGCTGTTTTCTGTAAACATCAGGTGTCATTTCTCTGTTTCTCGGCCTCCATTGTGAAATGAGATCCCAGATAAGTTTTAGGGTATAGATTTAAAATCTACTTAATGATTCATATTTTGTTCTGGGCTTAAGATCAAAGATGGCAAGGTGCTAAAGAAGAGTTACAGGACATTACCTGATGGAAAGATAATGGCTTGAATATGTGTGATAATATGTAGCTGTCCAGCTGATCTGAGTGATAATAATAAAGAGGAAGCCACAGAATTATCATTCCAATTGAAAATCTTTGGTAGGGCTTTGAAAGTGCAATCTGAGTATTCTTCCCTAGCAGCTAGTTGGAAAGAGCTATTTTGTTCTGGAAAGAGCCAGGAGGTGTAATATCATTCTCAGGAGACAGCAGTGCTCTCACCACATGTAGCACAAGGCTGTCACTGGGGTAGCACGAGCAGGCAAAATCAAGCTTTGGCAGCAGTACAAAAGTTGCTGCCCTGCATACAGACTCGTGTCTCAGCTCAGCAGCTCTGGCTGCTTCAGAGAGGCTGTAGGAGCCACGTGGCTCCAAAAGGAGAGAGAGCAGAGTTGGGGCGTTCTGATGCAAGCTAAAGAATGCCTGCTGTGTTTCAACCAGAGCTTGGCCAGTTCTGTGTGACTACAGCAACTGAAAGCTTAATTAAAATTAATCAGCCTTGCATCTTCTTGTGCATCTTTATGTGTTGCCTTTCCTCCTTCATCTGTGACCATGCTAAGAAGGTTTGCCTCCTTTCATGGCACACTCATTCCCTCCCTTCTCTTTCTACCTCCTCATTTGTTCCTTTGTCCTCCATTTCCTCCAGGCCAAGACCCAGCAGCAGTAGCCAAGAGAAGAGCTCTGACCATGCAGGTAGGTACAGGGCATGAATGTCCTGAAATGACCATTGGAATCTGGACCATGAGGTGACATTTGGAAAGCTTGGTTCAAGCCCATTCTTTTGAACATTCCTTAAAATTCCTTTCAATTCCCTGACGGGCTCAGTGGACTCTCCCAAAGCGCAGTCACCGGGAGTGTTCTCTGGTGGTGCAGTGAAAATTCCTCCAGTGTGAAGTGTTGAGTGGCAGGAGCTGGAATGGTACCTTGGGGCCCAGGAAATGCAGTGCAGGAAAAGGAAACATTCCTCTCCATGCTGTTTAGAAGATGCCAGGAAATGTGTCCCATGAAATCTGGAGTTCCAGATGTTTTAGGTTTGCATTGTGGCCTCTGTTATATTTTGTGTCTCCACTCTGCAGGCCTGACTGGCTACCCTCTTGCCAAGAGGTTTTCCCCGGCAAGTCCCTTGATGCTCCTTCCCTCCAAGCTTCCCATCCCAAAGAGCTCTCCTTCTACCAAGCCAAGCCAGGTCTCCAGCGGAGAGCAGGAGAAGGGGAAAAATGTCATCAGCTGGGATGAGGAGAGTAGAAAACCACAGGGACTGATTTCAGATGGAAAAGAACATAAGGTAAGGAGACCAAGCATAGTCCTGTGTGGTAAATTTTCAGTTTCTGTGCTGTTGGCAGAGCTCTGAGACCTTTACCCTGACAGGAACTGACCCTTTCACTGAGGTTTGGAGTGGTCCTGATTTGGCACTTTAGCTTGGCCAGAAATTATGGGATGCTCAGGATGGGTGTGAGTCTGCCCCTGCTGCCTTCACCTCCCTTCCTGGCCATGGCATGGAGGCCTGGAAGAACTTGGGCAGGCTGAGACCTTGCAGAGAGCTGCAGGACAGGGAGCTCTGCTGAACTTCCTAAATGCCAGTGAGCCTGAGATGATGGAAGTGTGGGAGCTGGAGAGCAGCGAGCACCCTGAGAGCTCAGCAGCATCTGGGCTCAAAGGCTGCTGGGGAACTGTAGGAGGGAAGGGCAGCAGCAGAAGCAATGAGGGGCTTGAGAAAAGCAGGGTTTGACATCCTGCAAAATGGCTTTGTGGGGACTTGTCTGGAGATCAGCACTGCCTGTTAGGTACCTTTAGGAGCAGGGAGAGATCAGTGATCTAAACCCACTCCTGTGCCATCCAAAAATGCCAGTGGAGCCAGTGGCACCCAGAACTTCTTGATGCCACACATGTGGATGCCAGTTTTAAATGTAGCCACACTTGCAGACTGAGTGAGTGTGAGGAGAGAGGTGTCAAATGTGTGACATAGTCTCTCCCTCAGCAGTTCCCTTTGCATTCCCCATCCTGGGCCAAGTTGCCCCATCAGTCTGACTTGTCCTTTCCTGCCAGGTGTCACCTAATAGCATGGCTAAATGTCCTGAGGCATGAATGGGGGCAAGGCTGGATGCTTGATCTGAGCACTGTGGTCTACTCTTTCCAGGCTTCCTTGCTGTATACCCCTGGGGGAGAAGTGAAGAAGGGGTCACTGGGACTACCTCTGCTCCCCCCAATACGCAAGGCAGGAAGTCTCCCTGTTGGCAGTGCTGCAGGGTCAATGCAAAGCTCTCTCCAGCTGGATTTCCAGGAGTCCCAGGAGATGAGGTAAGCCAAGGTGTCTGCTGCTCCAGGGGGCTGTTCAGCTCACTCTTCGCATCACATGTTGTTATTTTGCACTGTTAGCTGTCCCATGTATTTAGGCAGACCTCTGTGTATTCAGCATTTTGCCCATCTATGAAGGGCCAGCACAATGTCAAACCCAACAGCAATGGCCCAAGAGCAGAGGTGGTGGTGGGGAAGACGAGGCAGGGCTTCAAAGCACCTCAAGATGGGTCCTCTGCTGGGCTTGGCTATTATTTCACCCAGAGCGTGGCCAGTTCAGTGCGACAACAGCAGCTGAAAGCTTAATGACAATTAATCAGCCTTGCATCTTGTTGTGCATCTTTATGTGTTGCCTTTCCTCCTTCATCTGTGACCATGCTAAGAAGGTTTGCCTCCTTTCATGGCACACTCATTCCCTCCCTTCTCTTTCTACCTCCTCATTTGTTCCTTTGTCCTCCATTTCCTCCAGGCCAAGACCCAGCAGCAGTAGCCAAGAGAAGAGCTCTGACCATGCAGGTAGGTACAGGGCATGTCTGTCCTGAAATGACCATTGGAATCTGGACCATGAGGTGACATTTGGAAAGCTTGGTTCAAGCCCATTCTTTTGAACATTCCTTAAAGTTCCTTTCAATTCCCTGACGGGCTCAGTGGACTCTCCCAAAGCGCAGTCACCGGGAGTGTTCTCTGGTGGTGCAGTGAAAATTCCTCCAGTGTGAAGTGTTGAGTGGCAGGAGCTGGAATGGTACCTTGGGGCCCAGGAAATGCAGTGCAGGAAAAGGAAACATCTTCTCTATGCTGCACATGGCTTTTCTCTCCCTGTAGCCTTTCTAGATTCAAAATTAGTAGAGCAAAGGAAGGAATTTAGCATGAAATAACAAATGTTCCCACTCCTTCCTCCTGCCCTTGAAGCAGAAAACCTTTCCCTGGGGCACTTTCTGAGCTGAAGCCTTTGAGGAGTGAAGGAGGTTCATGGACATTGCCTGGTTTTGCACTGGCAGAAATAGGGAAACCTCCTAGGACAGAAAGTCCTTTGGAAATCTCTTCCCCGGCTCTCTCTGTCTGTGTCAGAGTGGCAGGCTGAGGCTGGGGGAGGAGATGCCTTCTGCCTTGTCCTCCCTCCCTGCCTTTCCTGATCCCTGACAAGTGGAATTGTGCCAGACAAAATGCGGTCTCTGCTGCATCTGGGTCAGCCAATGCTTTCAAGTTGAAATCTTCCATGACACTCGAGGCATATGTACCTTGCTGCTCTCAATCCCAATCTCTGTGTTTTATGGAAGCTCTGCAGTCTGGAACCTGTCTTGCCTGTTGCCCACAATTATGTTTTTGGGGGCTTGAAGTCTTCCAGTGATTTACATGAACCTTTGCTTCCATTACCAGGCCTCCCAGTGAGCCAGGCCAAGGAGCTGGATCATCCCACCAGTCCTGGTTTTATGAGTGACAGTGACCTGAGGGACAGCTCTGGAAAGGTAAGGGGTGAGCACAGGGATGAGCAGACTTCCTTTCCAGTGGCTCTTTAGTGCTTGGCCCAAAATGTCACTGGAAATCATCATCTTCCACCCCTTGGGAGATGGGGATGGGGATTATCTTGGGAATCTATTGGACAGCTACAGAGCAATTGCTTGGCTATTTCCTGTGGTGCCAACCAGGGTCACTGGTTTGGGGATGGTGCTAAGGTCATGCCAGAAGCATTCTTTATGTGCAAAGGCTCTTTTAGAGAAGTTCTGAGTGGCAGAGCAAACTACCCATCAGTGAACGTGGGAAAAGTGCATCCTCAGAAGCAGAGAAGCAAAGGTTCTAATGTTGAGTGTAAGCAAGGCTGCAAAATAAAATGGGAGAGTTTGACTTTTCCAGGATACCTTTGTGGCTGCATCTCACAGCCCTCTCCTTCTCAAGTTTTCTGCTCATGAACATCAGTGTTTCTGCAACTTGTTTTCACATGAATCCTCCTTTTGGTCTCGCGGTCTCAGAGCCCAAGTCCTCCAGAGCCCTTCAGAGCCGAGTCCTTCAGAAGGCAGGAAGGGAGAAACAGCTGCAATTCCTGGCCATGAGTGTTAAGCAGCAGCTCATTACCCCTCCTTCCGGGGTATTGCACATGGTGTTTATTCTCCTGCCATGGCCTGTAGGAACTGAACTGCCTGCTCACTGGCCATGTGAGCTCTTCATCTGTCTTGGGGCACTCCTATGACTTTCATGCTTCAAGCAGGCCTTCCTGACAGAGGTTGCAGTGGCAGCAGTAGAAGGTTATGGCACTGAAGTGTTTCACCTCACTGTGTGTAATTGCCAGGGTGAGGATGGGAGACCTTCCTCTGAAACTATTGGAATGTCTATGGAGCTGCACTGAAGCCTGTGGCACTCTGTGGACTCTGTGCTCCTGATGAGATGATGTGTTTGGTTTGTGTGTCTCTGCTTACAGTCTGTGATGTATTTCCATTGCACCTAGATCCGTCCTGCACTCTGCAAGTTGGCTCAAAAGAGCTTGGAGCGGAAGAAAATGGAGCTTTTGAAGAAAGAGTTGGAGAGAAGGAGACTAAATCAAACATCCTTGCTACTTCCTCCTCAGCCAGTTGAGCCTGGGGATGCAGCTGAAGCAAGTAAGTGGTGGCTACACTTGTGGTCCTTTCTGACCACTTGCTTGCCCTTTGCACAGTGTTGCAATCAGACTGGGAGGCTGTTTGGCTTGCATTTGGGTGGAAGCTTGCATAGGATTTATTTCTGTTTCCCAAAGAAAAATACAGAAGCATGAAGTGTCTTGCCCATGGCCTCGCTGAGTCAGTAACAGAATATCAGCTTCCCACCTTCACCTCTGAAGTCTTTCAGAGTAGAAAATTCTGTCTTGCAAACTACACTGGGGCTTCAGACTCTCTCCTGGAGAGCAGCCTCCAGGGAAGGCAAGTCCAAAAGAATGCTTTTCAACCAGGCTGCAACCTGGAAGAAACAAAGTCCAGCTCCTTCTGATGAAAACACCAGAGCTCCTCCTCCTGCCGCTCCCTGCTGAGGAGCTGGCACTGCTGAGCTGTGCTGAAGCCCCCAGCCAGTGCTGCTCTTGTAGCCCCAGGAGCAAGCAGCATTCCCGACTGAATCCCGGCCCAGGGCTCTGACTGCAGGGCTGGGAGCGCTGCCCCGAGGGCGGCAGCAGGGCCCTCAGGAGGCAGCACGCAAGGCTATCTGCACTTTCTTTTGGAAACTTCCCCTGACAGCCTCTGGAACAGGAAAACAGCAGCAAAGCAATACTGGGTCTTCCTTGTTTCTTAGGGGAAGCATCACTGCAGTTTGGTTTTAAGCTAGAAGAAGGTAGATTTAGATTATATATTAGGGAGAATTTTTTTTTAAAATTAAAGGGGATGAAAAGCTGGAAGGGTTTGCCCAGAGAAGCTGTTGTTGGTTCATCCTTGAAGGTGTTCAAGGCCAGTTCACATGGGGCTCTGATCTAGATGAAGATGTCCCTGCTCATAGGAGTTGGACTAGATGGTGCTTAAAGGTGCCTTCCAACCCAAACTCTTCTGATATTCTGTGATTCTGTGATCACTGTCCACTGTTAATGTGCCATTGTTATACTTGAAGTTCTTTGGGGTAACAGAGATGTTACCCACCTCCGGCAAGTTTCCTGGCGCTTTCCATTGTCACCCTGCCCAGCACCCTCCACTTACAAGCTCCTTTTTAGTCCCTGCAGGCTTTAGGCTACCACCTGTCGATGGCACAGCTGCTAGTGGGCAGAGAAAACACCCTGGTAGTGACTTGAAGAAGCAGGTTGTGAGGAAGCAGGACAACGTGCCCTTACTGCCCAGTACGTCCACCATCCATGGGGATGGCAGCTTCCCACGCAACTCCACAGGTAAGCCTGCTCCGTGGCAGCTTTTTCCCTGCACGGGTTTTACCTTGCACAAGGAGCACAAACTGCCTCCTGCCTCAGCCAGCACAGCTGGGACCTCGGGTTCATAGCCTGTCCTGAGATTGAACATCAAATCTACTTTGGAGTTACTCCAGCTTGGTCGTACTGTAGCAGTTGGTTCTAGAAATCCATTGGAAAGTTGAGCTGAATGAAATCGTGGTAAAGGCCTAAGCTCTGCCTTTTGCCCATCTCGGTAACTGGTGCCAGGAGGCTGCTGTGCCTGCAGGGATGAGCTGCAGGGCAGTCTGCCAGGGTGTGCTCACCATGCACCTCCGAGAACCACCAGGATCAGTTGTGCACTCACCATCTGGGCCCTCTGCCTGTGCTGCTGTCCAGTTCTGCAGCCAGCTTTTCTGCTCTCCCAGCAAGGGCTGGCTCTGCACGGCCATCAGCGGCTCGGTGCAGTCGTGCTGCTGCTCCCAGAAGTGCCCGATGGCTCCTCGCTGCCACCATCCCACGGGCTGCAATGCCAGGAGGGAACAAGCAGTGCCTCCTGTGCCACCCAGCAAACACAGCGGCTGTGTGCAGCAGATGACAGGCACGAGGGGCTGCCTGCTGCTCCCAGGCTGTTGGCTGCCTGCAGGAAACACCCAGCAGATAGTCCCTGGTGGCTCTTGTCTCTCCTTTGTGGGTAGCCTGCTGTACTGTGATCCCAAGTAGGGTGAGATAAGAAGAAGGGAGCTAGGAATGATATTTGGAATGCTCTTTTCTAGTGATGCTGCTTCCATGTTCAGAATTGACCAGAACTAGCCTGACGTGGCTCTCCATCCATAGTGACTCTAGATGTGTGTGTCTACATGCTTCTGCAGGGCCATCACTGATGTCAGTGGCTGGGTGTCAGTGACACCCAGATTAGCTCCTGTCTGAATATTTTTGATGTTATGGTCCCTCTGTACTTTGTGAGAACATGCAAGGTAGCCAAAAACCCTACACAGTCTAGAGTAGTTTGTCAAGATTCTGTGCAATATTTATACTCCAACATGTCTAAAAAGACAGCTCAAATGTATTCATCTACACATTAGAAAATGAGCTTTTTAGTGTACGACATGAAATTTTTGATTGACAGTGCTTTTGATGACAAATGGGTTTCATAAGAAATGCATTTATCATCTGATTTTTCTCATACCTTGTAAATTTGTTTTCCTTACCAAAAAATTCAATTAAGGCAAACCCAGGACAACTTTTTATCAAGAGAGTGCATCTGCCAACAATTTGCATCGGTATTTGCATTCTTTTTTCCCCAGTTTTCATTTGGAAGGCTTTTTTATCAACCATCTAGACTGGAAATGGCAAGAGAAAGCTTAGGCATTGCACAGTATGCAAACACATCCATTTGATGACAAATAAATTTCACCTCAGCATCTTTGAAATACAGCCAGTGTGTACCTCTGAAAGAGTAAAGGTTCATGATGCTCGGAAAAGAACAAAATCCATAAATTACTCCCTTCCCAATAGCAGGCTAAATGTATGTGCACTCAGCTGCCTGCTGTCTAGGATATTTGAGGTCAGTGGACGCAGAGGCGCTGTCAGGTGGAAGGGTCAGGTGTGGCTGTTCCCTGGTAGCTGCTCCGTGGGGATTGAGCCGGGCCCAGCAGGGCTGGGTTGTTCAGGCTTGGCTCGGTGCTGTGGCCAGGCAGCTGCAGGTCTCTCCTCAGGGAGTTGCAGAGTGCCCCATCCTCAGGGCTGGGGGAAATCAGGGCGCTGAGACAAGAGAGGCACCTGAGGGGCTCCCTCCTGGCCGGCCAGTCCTGCTGCCGGCCCTGTCTGGCAGGGAGCGGGAGCTCTGCGGCCGCAGGAACTGCCGCTGGCTGTGGCACCTGTGGCACTCGGAGCTGGCGCTGCGGGGCCATGGGCAGGTTTAGCCTGGAGCTGTGCCCAGCCGGGGAGGCTGGGGGAAAGCAAGGAGCCCAAGGTGCCCGACAGCAGGGAAGCCTCTGCCCCAGTGCCCGTGTGTGCCCGTGGAGCCCTGGCTGGGAGATGGCTGCAGGCCGCTCCATGGCGGGGTGCCCCGCCCGGGGCTGCAGCGCCCATGGCCGACCCTGTCCTTACAGTGACCTCGGAGATGGCCGCTGGTGCCCAGCGCCGAGAGCAGCCGCGCCGTGGGACTGGGCAGAAGGACGCGGCTTTTGCAGCCCCACAGCAGTCCTTGCAGGAGGCACTGTCCTTGCTCGGCAGCGATGACTGGTAAGAAAGGCCCCGTTCACTCTGCGTCCCTCTTAGCACTAAGGTAGGTTAGACGCGTGTCTTGCTGCTGCCTCTGAGCCCCAAGAGCCCAGAGGGCCAAAGGGCACTGGTGAAACCACTGCAGAGCAGTGAGAAGATAAAGATTTGAGAGCAGCCTTTTCTCGGCCTTGCTCTGCAGCAGTGCTCCAGCTGCAGCAGGTCCGTGCTGTTTCCTCGCTTTGCCTGCTGCTCCACGGGGCTGCAGAGGAAATCTTGAGGGAAGAGAGAAAGCCCTGGAACGAGATGATTTGCTGGCTGAAGGGAGAAGCAGGATGGCAGCAGTTTTGAGTGCAGGCTTGGGTGCCTTGGGCCACTGGCCCAGTGGGACTGAGGGAGATTCCTCTCTGCTCCCAGTGGTTTGACTGAGCTGCCAGCCTGGTCGTTTCAGAGGGTGCTGCCTAGCTCTTGGGTAGAGAAAAATCAATCTTTTTGGTACTTGCCTTTCAGGGAGAAGAAGGAGAAGGGACTCTGCATCATCAAACAGCTGGCTGAGTCCCATTCAGAAGTCCTGCTTTGTCGACTTCGTGAGATTTGCTTGGCAGTTACCAGCGAGGTGAGAACATTGTTCTGAACTGTCCCGCACACTTCATACACGGTAGAGTGTAGAGTAGGTATGTGCTTGCTCATCTCCCTGTGTGCTTAGGGTGTGCCTTCTCTGCCCAAGCTGTAATTCAACACTGCAAATTAGTCTGTAGACCTGAGCCTGTGTTTTCTGTTTCCTGTCTGAGTGCTTCAGCTACAGGTGTTGCTTTTTTGAACAGGAGCACCTGAGTCTTTTATCTTTATGACTTGTGCCTTTATGGTTTGAAAGCAGCCCTTGCATTAATTTGCTTCTTTCTTTTTCAAACAAGAGGCCCTAAAATCAAAGCAGTTGATATTAGAGAAGGGTCAAGTAGCACACTTCAGTGAAATATATTTTTTATGCCTGCAGTAAGCAGGTCTGAGGGCAGAATTTGGTGCCAGAGTAAGTACCTTTCTGTGCTTGGGCTCTTCTGCTCTTACTGTGCTTTTTTGCTCCTCTGGACAAAGTGGGAGGTGTTGTGATTTCCCGGGAGTTTTGTCTAAGGCAACTGGTTTTCTTTTCAAGGTGATTCTTATGTTTCCCCTCATGACTTCCCCAGGTGACCAGCCTCCGGTCAAAGCTGTCTTGCTCTGCAATCGTCACTCTGGGAGAGCTGTTTGCACTCTTGAGGAAGGACATGGATTCCGAGGTGGATGAGGTTGCTCCGGTCCTTCTCCACATGGTGTGGAACTCCCCAGAGTTTGTTCAGAAGGCAGCCTGTCAGGCTCTGGGGATCATGGTAGAGAAGGTGACTCCTGCCCGAGCAATGACTGTTCTCATGGACAAGGGAGTCAAGTAGGTTCTTCTTCTTTTAGTGATATTCTTCACCTTCTCCTGTGTGGGTGGGGGAAGGGGTGAGAGAGAGAGACTGGGAATGGTGGGAGGGAAGGGTCCTGTATCCTGCATCTTCTGTGAACTCAGGGACTTGATTCTCTTATCAGCCTCATTTCTTTCCTCTTGTCACCTATTTCTGCCCTCCTGCAGCCTCTTCGCTCTCAGAATCACAGAACTGTAGAATAGGGGCAGTTGGAATGGGCCCATCAGGACCATTGAGTCCAGCTCCTGGCCTTGCACAGAACAGCCCAAGGGTCACACCAAGTGCCTGAGATTGTTGTCCAAATGCTTCTTTGACTCTGTCAGGCTTGATGCTGTCACCACTGCCCTGGGGAGCCTGTTCCAATGCCCAACCACCCTCTGGGGGAAAAACCTTTTCCTGATATCCAGTCTAAAGTTCCTCTGACTCAGCTTCCTGCTGCTTCCTGGAGTTCTCCCAGTCTGTCAGATTTTCCTAGACGTGGTGACCGCTGGGGAAGTGAAAGTGCCTGCAAAGGCCAAGGGGAAAGCCTTGTGCTTTTTTTGGAAGAGGGACAATTGCAATTGCAGCTGTCAGCGCTGTTGGGTATTTTGCAGCGCTGGGAAAAACCACGTATCCTCATGATGCAATTAACGTGAGAAATACGGAGGGTACTTGCTGGGGCGTGCAGCACATGGGGGAGAATGTGCTGGGTGTGGCACAGCCTGCACAGCAGGTGCAGCTCCTGCCAAAAGGAGGCTTGTAGGACTGTCCTGGCCTAAGAGCTCTACTTTCAATTCAAACTGATGTTTCAGGTAAGCCTTGAGATGATGAATCAATTTACAGGCACCTTCACAGGCTGAGTGCAATGGGACAGCTGAAGCAAATGCTGCCTTAAGTGTTGGTGCTGGGCCTGATAGGTCCCAAGAGACAGTCTCTAGAACAGGACAACCTGGCTAAAATGCCTGCCACCCTTTCCTCAGCTTTGGAATAGGGTCAAAACACTCAGCTGTATCCCTTGCCAATCTTTACAAAAGACAGAGGCTGCATTGCTGGATATTGGCAACTTCCCGCCCTACAGCGTGTTTTTCCTGCAGCTGTTTTTTTCCAAAGGTCTGCAGATTTGGGGATGAATGGGTGGAAAGAGCCTCATCCTGCTGCAGCTCTGTGCAGTGGGGGCCGTCTGATGGGTCAGCATGAATTGTCCTTAATTTCTAAATAATTCATATGTATTCAATTCCTTTAATCTTTCTCTGAGTAAATACTGGGAAAGAAATGGAGTATCAGATAGTGCAGGGAGACTGAATTCCTCCCTCTTCCTTGCAGGCAGTCCTTCTGTACAATGCTAGCTTTGTGTTTATCTGAGGACAGAAGCTTCTACAGGTGTCTGAAGTTGCAGGGAGAAGCCAGGCCTCGTTCCCCCAGCAAGGACAGGGAGCAGGCTCTGGCCAAGGCCTGTGCTGCTCTTGCTCCTTCTCCCTGTGCCCAGCGTTTGCTCTCTTCTTCCCAGGAGCCGCTACGCCCAGGTGCGGAAGTGCGCGGCCGAGCTCCTCCTGTCCTTGGTGCAGAGAATTGGAGTCACGAAGCTGGCAGGCACAGCCAGGGCTGAGACACTGGCCCACGTGGCAGGGACACTTGCTCAGGACTGTCACCAGGACACAAGGTAATGATCTTCATTTCACCTCCTAAAACGGGAACATGGTTTTGTGTCTGGCTGTAAAAGGTAAAACTACAAAGGAGTGGAAACTAAAGGCAACATTAAGTTACCTCACAGTGTGGATAAGGGTCAGAGAACCATGGAATATGCTGAGTTTGAAAGGACCCATCAGGGTCATCAGGTCCAGCTGCTGGTTGTGTGCAGGACACCCCAAGAGTTACTCCATGTGCCTGAGAGCATTGTCCAAACACTTCTTGATCTCTGTCAGCCTTGGTGCTGTGACCACTGCTCTGGATTGCCTGGGGAAATGACTGTAGTGGGTAACCTGAGCTTGGCCACCAAGAAGGAGCACTGCCAACTTCCTGTGACTTGAAGGATTCTTTACTGAGATCCAAAGAGCTCCGATTAGCCAGTCAAAAAGTTTTGATTGGCCTTCGGTGCAGACGATAAAGCCAACGTGTTGGCTAATGTTCATCACTGAAGGATCCCAAACATCTATTTCACATTAACTTAAGACTTCCCTAGAAATATCTCAGAGGTCTTTAGCCTATGTATTCAGTCTTTCTAAACTACTTCTGCAGGTTGGTAGAATGCTGTCATCTGTGGCTCAGTGACCTCCAAATTTCTTCTTGAAGAAATCTGTGGTTTCCTAGTGGCAAAATCAACCCAAACCACCAAAATCCCCTTACTTTGATGATGAAATTGCCATTAATAGCTGCCAAGGACACCAGAGCAACTATCTGCCCCTGCCCCTGATTATTCTATATAGTATAGAATAATCCAAAGCAAGCATGAGGTGTTTTGTTCTGGCTTCCCTGCCAGTGAAAGAAAGGCAAATTATTGTGCAATGGCAGCAGGACTGCTAATAGGCTCTGACAACGAAGCAGATGTGTTTTGCCTGTTCCCTGGGATCCTTTGATCCCACAGAAGCACACCCACAGTTTCCGAGTGAAATGGTATTTTTCTGTGGCCCCACATTCTCCTCTTGTCCCTTGTGTTCAGCTGACAACACTGTGCAGTGTCAAGTGAAGTAAATCTCCCTCTTTGCTGAGTAGGTAATGCCTTCTCTTGCAAGGATTGCACCTGATCAGTTTAAGCTATCAGCTGCTTCTGTTAACACTCTTCCTTTGTTCACTTTTCATTTCCTTCCTTCCTTCCTTAGGCATTATGGACAGGAGATGGTGAAGATGCTGCTGAATAATCCAAAATTGAAAAAGCTTTTGGAACAATCTCTTTCCACCCATGACCTGGAAGATATCCTGACAAGAATTAAGAAGAAAGTAAGCGCTTGGCAGAAGCAGTGTCTCCTTTGTGCAAGTATTGCCACTGCTAATATGAGATCCAACATACCCGATGTGACTTTACCTCATTCCTCTTCTGCTGCATCATTTTGCTCCTGGGAATGAGCTGTTAATCCCCAGCCTGTTCATCTGCAGACCACAGAGGAACTGATATTATTAGGGAAAAAGTGGGGTTTTGAATTCTTTGAATATCACAAAGGGGAAAGGGAAAGAGGAGAAAATGGGTTCACATCCAAGGGTAAGGCCCCACGGCGCTCTCCCTACTCTGCCCCCAGTAAAGCAGTTAAGTGAGAATAGTGCTTCTGAGGATAACAGTGTCTTTGCAAAAGACACCGGAAGTAGTGGTGCCAAGAACATTTCCAAATATACAAAAGATGTCCAAGTCAATCCTGATTACTGCAATTACTGTCTGTCTTTTGGGAATACTGCCCTGCTGTCAAGCCCTGTGGAGCTGGAAGAGGCTTGGTGAATTCAACAGCATCCAGTGGGAAATAATTTGTTTGTTTGGGGGGGGATTTTATTCTTTTTATCTACATTTGAGACGGGAGTGTGCCTTTGTGCAGGAGCAGGGAGAGTAAGTGTTGAACCAAATCAACTTCCAACACAGTGGGCCAACCCCCAAAGAGTCCAAATCTGCTGCTTCCATTGAGAACACTCGTTGCCTACCAGTTTGCATTATTCCCATTTATGCTCGAGACCAATGAATTTGGGATTTTAGACTGCTCTCACTGCTGCATGATAGCACCCATAACCTGCCTTGGGCTATTGTAAACAAAGAGTTGGCATCACTGAATCTCTGGTCCATTTATTTCTGTAAGTTAGGAAATGTTTCCCTAAGGCTTGGTAGCAGTGGTCCTGGTTCTAACTTGTGTTCTAACCAGGGAATTTCCTATTTTATATTCTAAAGATTCATGGAGTTTCTTGATGTCTTTGTAGGGGATGGAAAACCAGAAGGCTGAACGGCCATCTGTGAAGAACCTGGCGAAAAAGGGGAGCGACGGCTCAAAGAAGCCCCAGGCCACATTGCCTTCTAGCAATCGGTACTTTTGTCAGATGGGAGCACTTTTGTTAGATGTGACAAAGCACATGACATGTGCTTTACATGCCTCTTCCTCAGGAAAATCTTTCTGGTGGAGATGACCAGTGCCAGAGATTCTTTCCTTTCCCTACAAATGCTCTAGGATAAAAAATGTCTATTTCTGCATTATGCTGAACACAACTTTTCTGGAGGGCTTCCACAAAAATTGGGCGACAAAAAGACACCCATTGGTAGCAGCTCAGATGATCCAGTGCAGTGGCAAGGGCACTGTTGTGGAGGCTAGGAGAGGGCCAAGTTTCTGCTGCTGACTTGGAACAAGGAAAGTCAACCAGGGTGTTCTTTTTTAATCCCAATGTGGTCTTCTGTCTTTTTTTAGATGGGTGTTTTAATGAGAAGTCCCAGTCTTGAAACAAGATGCCATTCCCCAAAGATACAGTTCTCATCCATGTGGTTTGGCCTGGCTGATTCATGGTTTTTTTACCCTCAAACAGTACGAAGTTTGAGTAGTAGTAATAGTAGTAGTAGTAAGGGAATTCCTGAGCAACTTTGGCCAACAGGTGTCTCAATGTGGACTTTTTGTCTTGATATTCCTGTCCTTCATATAGTTTACTTGATGGACAGCATGTTTGGTTTATTTCCCCCTGTGCTGCAATCAGCATTTAAGACAGGAATTTGGTCCTTGCTGTCTCTTCATGCTAGTGGCAGAGCTGCTCGTACCTGTTCTCCTCTGATAACAGAGGGGATTTATTTAGCGCTGTCCCACTCAGCAGTGGCAGAAAAGTGACCACGTGTCTCAGTAGCATGGCTTGCACCTGCCCGTGCTCATGGAAGAGACAGGTTGATCCAGGAGAATTGTTCCCAGAGAGTTTGTTAAGCTGTGGATCTGGTCTCTAGGGAAGCAAACAAAATGTGAGCGTAGTTCTGGCATGTCTGGTTTCTGTTTTTATCTCTGTTACTGATTTTCTAGATCCTTCAGATACGTCCCTGTTCATCTGTTCAAATGCATCTGAGCTACTTTTCCAGATTGTCATGCCTGGTGTAGAGACTCTTCTCCAGAATGATGTGTTTCCTTATTATAAGACACACACCTCCCATATGAGGAGGCATTTAAACTTGGAAGTAGTGTCTCTCTTTCCCCACAAAGCAATGTGACCAGTGCGCCTTGGAAGCCATCTGAAGATAGATCAGATGCATCTCATCCTTGGTTTTCCTGAGTGAGCAGTGTGAGAATGTTACTTGCAGGTTGTCTCTTGTAATGATTGGCATGAGGCTCACGTTGTTCTTCAGAGCCTCATGATATTCTAGCTTGAAATCACATCACTAGGAAAGCTCCTCAAGGTGTTTTGGTCACAATTAACTGAAGCTATTATCACCAAGAGGTCCTATTTTGGTTTTATTTTCCAGGGTGGAGTCTACCTCTGATGGACGCCTCCTACACCGTGCAAAAGTCCAGGTCACGTTACCTCGAGCTGTGGAAGAGATGAAGCCGCTCCAGAAGCTTTACCACCTCCTGGAAGCCAAGGAGTTTCAGATACGGATGGAAGGAGTCGCACTCCTCCTAGAGCTGTGCAAAACCAGACCCCAGCTCATCTCCACTAACATTACCCAAGTATGTAGGGTATTTTCATTGTTCCATTCCTTCAGCTCCTTTCCCAGGCCTGGAGAAGTAAAGTTAATTCAGTGTGTCTTGGCAGTACATCCTGGCTGTTTGGGACAGGCTGGTCCCTCTTACCCAGAGAAATTTAATTCAGGTCCCAGGCTTCAGGACAAGTTTTTTCAGTCCAGCTATATTTGTCTGGCAGCTGTCTATTGATGCTGTTGATCAGATGATGACGGAATTTTCTGCTGGTTTAACTGCTGCTGTCTCCTACTCCCAGTTGGGTTAGGTGAAGAGAATCCAGCCATTGAAAGCAATAATGGCACTTATTCTCTGGACAAAAAATGGGTTTGAGTGGGGAAGAGACGTTTCAGGCTGGGTTGGTTTCAACTAAATGTTTTTAAAGGATACTTCTGGAAACTCCATCTTGTCTGGCACAGGCACAACTCTGGCTACTCATTTCCATCCTTGTGCCTATTCCTCTAGGTAAAGATGGTGCTCACCCTTCTTGGGGGCCTTTTTTTCTCTTTGGAAAAGGAGGAAAACAGCTAAGGACAGATCTATCCTTTCTCCTCCCAGTAGATGCTTTTCCCCTTCTTCCAGAAATTGGTGCCTGTCAAGGGACTGAGCCTGCTCTAATGAGAGCTGTACAGCACATTGCATTTCAGAAGTCTACCTGTTAGAGAAATGGTCTGAGTCCTGGAAGAGTTGATCAGAGCCCTGCCCTCCTCCAGACACAGGTTCTGAGACAAACAAATGAAAACCTAGATCTCCTCCAGCCATAGTTTTGGCAAAATCATAATTGCCCTCAGTACCTGAGGCAACTGTGTAGAAACCTGGGCATTGTAAATATCTGCTTCCACTCTTGTAAAGCAAAGGTAGTCTTTTCAATTAATAAAGGGAATTGATTGAATGATTTATAGCTGGGGAGAAACATCCAGGGAACTCTTCTGTCCCCAGCCAAACCTCTTCAAAACAGATGAAAATCTTTCAACCAGCATGAGGTTGCAGAACCATTGCAGCGAGTGGCCCACAGGAAAACACTGAAATTGTGCATGCAAGGGCTGACCTGACAGGAAGGATGACTTTCACCTTTTACATTGCTGAGTGCTCATTTCTACATCCCCTCTTCAAACAAGGTCATTTTAATCAAGTTCTCGTGTTATTTGTTCTCTTTGCAGATTTTTGATTATTTTGACCTGAGACTATGTGACACGCATAAGAGAGTGAGGCAGAAGGCGCTGGACGTGCTGGCAGAAATCATCGGCCTCCTGGAAGATGCCCTGAGCCCCGTGATCATCCGTTTGGTGGAAGGAATAACAAAGAATCTAAACTCAAAGGATCCCGGGGTTCGTGCCGCAGCTGTGAGAGCGCTGGAAGGATCCATTGCTCATTTAGGTGAGGCTGACCCCTGGCATGGACTCTCCTCAACTGCGTCTCTGTCTCTCCGACGCAAGAGAACGCTGAGTGCCTTGACAGCTGCTGTTGTCTGTGGAACGCTCCCGCAGACACCCACCAGAAGCTTTGGAGGTGCAGTCCTTAGGAACCAGTCCTCCAACAGGCTTGAATGGGATCAGCAATCCCCAAAAGTCCCAGGAGCCCTTGGCTCTGTGCTGCTGATCTGAAGAGAAAGTCCTGGACTACAGCTTTGCTACAATTCAGAGGCAAAGTTTGCTTGGGCCCCATCTGACTTCCCAAATGAACAGCTTTGCTGTTGGCATGAAGGGACACCAGCCCATCAGAGCTTCTGCAGAGCATCCACCTTGAAGGCTCTACATTACGGGCATTAGCTGCCTATTTTCCACCTTTCTTCTTTGTCTTCTTTTTTCAAAGGGCAACTTAGGATTCACCAAGTTCATTTCCTTAGAACAAACTGGTCTAAATGCAGCTGGCAATAATGCCTTGTTCCACATGTTGTTTTGCATGGGGCAAGGTGGCTCTAGCAAATACCTAATTAGGCAAGAGAGGCTCTAAATTCCTTTGCCACACAGATTTATGTCAGCTCTGAAAATGCCTGAAAAATTGAGTGCTGAGGAGGCAGGTCTTCAGGGGCTGTTTCCACTTTCTCCACCTCAGCTGCTCTGTGAATTCATGAACTGCCTGACTCAGTGCCTTTCTGTGTCCCAAGGATGGAGTTCTTCCTTTTTGCTGTGGGATGCAAAACCTTTTCACTGCTTACATGCAACTGAACTCTTGAGATCCCTGATGTGAAATGTGTTAACTTAGCTCCTGGTACAGCAGACAACTTTGGATTTTCAAATGTGAAAGGAGAGCTTTTCTTTTGGAACTTTTAACCCTGCCAAGTAGGCTGGAAGGAAAGAAGAAAAGGATTCAAAAGTCAGCAGAATATGACTTTCTTTTATAAAATGGGGTGGCCCCTGCCCTTTCCCTCCCCACTGTCCTTTCTGCTATGACCTCGGAAGAGTGAGCAGCAATGTGTGTTTCACTTGTAGATAAAGTATCACTGATGAAAGAGCTCAGCAACCAACGGAGACAACTGAGTGGCGAAGCTCTGCTGGTTGTCACGGAGTGTATCACAGGTATGGCCTTCCCTTGGAAGCCAAGAGGTCCTCCAAGGGATTATTTACAGGGAATGCCTGGGAATAGACAGTAGAGTAGCTCCTCCACATCAGGAGGTGCTGAGCTTGTCCCTCCTGCCCAATGCCCAGGGCAGGTGTCTCTGGCAGGTTTTCCCTGGCTGCTGCAGAGCTGTGCAGCATCTGAGATGGGGGCGGCGCTCGGCCTCGGGGCTGAGCTCTCACTGGGGCACCTCAGAACCATTTCCAGGATAGGAAGGGGCTAAAAACAGCCCAGCTGGCTCCTCTCTTGGAGGCTCAGGGACATCTGTGACCCTTTAGGAAAAATGGTGGCAAATGCTGTTTCAGGGGATCAGTTTGTTGTGTTCTCACAGAATTCTTGTTTTGCTCCTGGCAAGTTTTGAGGCTGAACCATGCGGAGCCTGGGGGTCACAGCTTAGGTCAAAACTCACCACACCGGGTGTATCTCACTCTATCATATACTCTATTAGAGTCTATCACACATATCCTTGCATGGATTTAGTGCAAGGCAGCCTCCAGGGGCAGAGGGGCAGAAGCAGAGTGCTGAGGCTGCCTGCCTGTGCTGTGGAAGTGGCACTGGACTGAGCATTTCAGGCTGTGCAAATAGCCTCTTCCTGTGTCAGCGCTGTCCAAAATCAGCTACAAATGCAGCTGATAATTGATTCCTCAGAGGAGCTTGCTGTGTCAGCAGTAGCCAAGGAATGGAAAAATGACAATCTCAATATATAGCAGAGAAGACAACTGATAGCCTGGCTTTAACTGGGGCTAATGGCACTGCTAATTATGCCAGCATCTTTCAATACAAGGTTTCATAGTCTTTGTGTCTTCCTTATGAATCTGAACAGGGCATGTTCAGCGATTGGGAATGTCAAAGGCTCTTTAAAACCACCACCAAGGAGCATTTGAATAAAGTAGATCTCCAGGAATAGGGAATATAGTTTTGCAGTTATTTTGGTCTCTTTTTCAGATAAAGGAATAAACAAAAATGAGGACTCCTTTAGAAAGTGCAAATGTCCTCTCTGAGGTTTAGTGGGAAGAGACAGCTCTTTCTCTGCTCAAGTTCCATAGTGACCAATGTCTTTAATTGCACTTAAATTCAAATGAAGTGTCATTTTAAAATGTGGACCATTACACCTTTCCTGCTTAGCAGCATTGGTTTTGGGTACTTTCAGGAGCTGTTTCAGTGCTGATCACTGCTGGTGGATTAACAGCATAGAGAAAATGAAGTCTCTTCCACCACAGAATAATAAGTAGCTACTAGATAACTTTATGCCTGATCAGAAAATAAGACTGGTCTCCAGAGCATTTCAGATTTTAATCTCTCAGTCAAATCTGCCATGCAAGGAGCCTGTTGTTAGAAAATGTTTGTCTGTGTTTGATATAGTTCAGTTCAGAAATTGAGCAGAGAGCAGATTTCAGAGACAATGTGAGAAAACACTTGCCTTTTGGTTACTTTTCAGTCCCCTGTGTAGCATTTTTCTTTCTCTATGCCCCTATTTCAGTGCACATTGTAAGAAAAAATGCCACTAACATTGGGAGGGGAAATGCCATTAAAACATGAAGATGCTCAAATGCCATGGCAATGGGGTCTGGGTCATTCTCTAAGACACGCTGAGGTTTGAAACAGCTCCGTGTTGGAAGCCACAAAAGCATTCTGCCAAAGACACCAGCTGGTCACCGATGTTTCTAATGTAGCTGTCAAGCAGCAGCCACCTCTGGTGGGCTGGAGCATTGAAGTGTGTTCTAATACTGCCCTTTGCTGTGTGCCACTGAGCAAAGGGGAGCCAGATTAGACTTCTGGAACTTTACATGGAAGTTACAAATCTGAATCACCCCTTTTATTAGAAAGCACTCAACTGCCACCCTATGGTGCATTTCCAAATCTTCAGTGTGGGTTTAGACAACTTCTGAATGGCAATAAAAGGCAATTTGACATTTCATTCATTGTTCATGCAGAAACAAATAGTGAAATAATTTAGTAACGGTACAAAGTCTGCCACAGGGACAAGGCTCTGTTTGGAGAAATTAGTCCTGAGGGATTGGTGGTTCTGTTTCAAGGGTGACCAGCTGCTTTGCCTGTTTCTGGATCATGGGGCTCTGTGTGGTATTTCACTGATCTTTGCCAGAGAGGCTTCCAAGAAGCAAAACTAGAGGTAGATCCTTGTTTGCATGGAGGTTGGTGGGTAAGAAGCTGTGCCTCTCTCCCGGCAGTGCTTGTGGAGTGGGTTTATGCCAGGAGCCCTGAAGTCGTGGAGCGCTACGCCCTGCCCGTGCTCTGGTCCTTCCTGGAGAACAAGGCGCTGCCTGTCCGAAGCGCCAGCGTCCGCACTGTGGCCACCAAGCTTGCCCTGGCCCTCTACGAGGTGATGGGCACCAAGCTGAAGAAGTGTGCAGCCAGCAAGCCTCCACGCGTGCAGGAAAACCTCTCCAAACTTTTGGGCTGCTGAAGGTTTCATGTTCTCCAGAAAGATGACAAAGTTCTGACTTGGACAACTCCGGATGTGACTTTTTACCATCTGCCAAAAATGACAAAACACTAAGGAAGGGTGTGCATCTGCCCCGCTCTCTCCATCGCCCTTCCTACTCGTGACATGGGGGCCCTGAAGCAGCTCCAGACTGATGAGGACAATGTGAAGGCTGAGCATGGCTTAGCCTCAC